ATACACTTTGTCTGGCGTACCGTGCAGCAAGCGGAAAAGGAAGGGCTCTAGAGAGAGACAGTCTAACAACTGAAATGATCAGAGCAGGTGGTTAGACGCTGTGGACGACTAGCGGATCAGTTGCTACCTAGCAACGGTAAAGATACCATCAAGCTTCAAGGAGTCAAAAACAATCGTTTTGTTTAAGAAGGATGGAAAGGAAGTTCTGAAGGACTATCGTCCAATTTGCCTGTTGCTCACTATGATCATTATCAGCAAACTTGGACGAACAGTAGCCAAAAGAACAACAGGAGGGATTCCGAAGGATTTGCAACATAACGGATGATATATTTTTCTTAAGTCAGCTACTCGAGCGTGTGAGGGAATTTTCTATCCATCTGCATATAACTTTCATCGAATACGAAAAGGCATTCGACATTGTCGAGCGCAGCGCTGTGTGGGACAGGACATCGATTACACCGGTTACATTAGCGTGCTAAAGGAAGTGAGCTGTGGCTATTTCACAAATATCACGTTGTTCGACGCTCTTCTGCGTATTGTCATAGAGATGGGCGTGAAATGAGGGGACTTTATCTTCTACAAATCTTTCACTGCCTGTTTGACAAGGGTGTTTCGGAGGATGAACTGGAAGAGTGTGATTAGTATCAGTGCTGAGCATGTCAGCCACCCAAGGTACGCAGATGACTTGATGTTATTTCCTGAAAGCGCAAGAGCAACAGTGCAGAGTAAGACTCTAAATCAATCGATAAAGGACGACGATACTGCCATCAGATACCATACAAAGGTCAAATTAATATTATTGACGAAAAGATCGAAATAGTCAATAAATACAGTTGCCTGGGCCATGATATGAACGTGCCGAGTGATCAAGGTGAAGTGATTTAACGAACGAAGGAAAGTGGGACGGTTGGCGCTTGTTCGATTCCATCAAGGACGTATTTCTCGTCAATACAATGAAAGAAATTGGCGCCTGCTTTTTCAGTTCTATCGTCTTGCTAGCAGAGATGTATGGCTGCCAGATGTGGTCACGCACTAAAGCCGAGGAGCGCCAGCTATCTGTCACTGTCAGGGCCACTGAAAGAATGATGTTGGGAATTTCACGCTGTGATCACATGCCCCCAAGACGATGGTAACGGCCAACGGGAGTGAACGACGTTGTCCTCGTAAGCAGAAGAAACCGGGCACGTAGCTTGGCTGACCAACAGGAGATGATCGGCGAAGGTCGCTGACCGGTTACCTTCCGGATGGATTAGGCCGTTTGGTTGCCCACCATAATGATGGGAAGATTATATTAG